TTTTTTACTTCCTTTTATGTTTTTATTCACTAATAAATTTACGAATTATATTTATTAAGATATATAAAACATTTTGAGTAGTAGTGAACCATAGAAGAAATACTACGTCTCCACCACGTCGAACCCACGACTTCGGCCGAAGACGGGGGTTCGATTCCCACAGCGGCGACAATCTTTTCTTACTTTTTCTACAAATTTTAATGCATACACTAGCACTAGACTATAAAATTGATTATATATACAAAAGTAATTAAAACATTTCTCTACTTAGAAAAATTCATAGAATTAATGAACCGGATTCCCCACGGCCAATTTTGATTATCTTGCTCCGGCAAAGCTTTTGCTCCAACAAATTAAGCTTACACGTACAAAGCCGGGCGCTTTTCCAGAAAACCCTGGCTTTCGTCCGATTACATACACTAACATGCGTAAGGAAGGCTTTGTGGGAGTTTGACGTAGGAAAAATTGGTTGAGCAATCACAACGCTAAAGTAGAACGTTCCCGATTTATTTCTCTTCGACTTATTTCTTTTGGTAATAATCAACCGTATACAAACGGATTGTACAGCGCTTACTGCTTAACTAATAACGCTTACAGTTGAAACGATGTGAAGTGTTTAGTAGTGTCGGACGGAGGATTTTAAACTCTCAGCAGCCATTTGATTTTTTATTTTATAGGATTGTGTTCCCGTTTCCAGTACACTTGCTAAGAGTAAAAGTAAAGGTAAAACTCGCCCTCTTAATCGCACCTACGTGGGGTCGGAACAACATGTGAACATGTGAATAGTGTTAGTAATGTGTATATATATATATTCTGGGAATAAAAACCCAGATTCAGAATGGTCACAAAAATACTTGTCCCGTGTCGGAATCGAACCCAAGCTCCCGGTGCGGAAACCGATGACTGCAACCACACCACCAAGTAATGCGTATGATAGATATATACTCTTTATACCGTGTAGTCGTTCGTCACATAATATCTTCTTACAGGGAAATGTTTATCTTCAAAACATATATCAAAACTGTCAAAGTTGTCGTTAATGTTGAAAAATGTATGTTACTTAGCTTTGATGTTTTATCAATAATCGATCGAATCGTTTTAACCCCTACGGAGCATTCAGATATTGAAACCGGGTGTACTAACATTATCTAACCGGTACTATTAACTCCCAAAGTGTGACGATGCTAACTAGCCAGTCACCGTACACTGAGCACAAATGTGCGGCAGAGATTTTGCTAGAAAATTCGGAACGCGAAAGGCTCTTCAGCGCAACCCTCTTGAGATTCGCCCCACGAGAAACCGGAATTTGTCATTGTGGAATTATTTTGCAGCAATATACGTAGACAAGATGAAAAAGTTAGACCAACTTATCAGTTCTTGCGCTAAAATAGATGTTATGAGCGCTGCTAGGTCAATGACCTGAGAAATTAGAACAACTGTTGAAATTGCGAATGTGTAAATGAAATACTCGGCTTATATTTGTAACATAACTTTTGTTTTGTTTCTATTTTATTCCGATTATTCGATGACAGGCTGATGGCTAAGATGCCTGAAACTTCGATACGAGTTTCAAGTTACTCTAAAGGGAAGTGTCGTACTTTGGTCCCTTGTGTGCGGAACATGGTTTATCTCTGTTGAGACTAAATAAAACGTTGAAAGCATATAAAATATCATTGCTACATATATCAATAGATATGGGCCTACTGCGGTAGGGCCACGCAGCAGCCTCGGTTGTTGCACGATATTCGTAGAGTCGAATAGTTTCGCGTTTCGTCTGGTGAGCGAGGTAAACAGAGCCCAATTTTCAAAAGGTTATCAACGCATATGCAATCCTTAGGTGTAGTAGATATCCATGGGCGGAAATATACGCATATGCAAACCTCAGGTGTAGTAGATACCCAAAAAAATGTGAGTTTTTACGTTGTACAAGGTTTTGTTTTATTTACGTCAATAATGCGTGTTTAAATACAACTTTTTTTATGAATTTAACGAATACTTACCTTTCAATGTTATAAGTGACAAAACGCCGAACGCTATGTTCAAAACGTCACGAAAATTTTAAGCTTATTTAAAATTTTAAATTATAATAAATTTTGCATTTTTTAAATTAATAACGTAATCCTTAAATAAAGTTTTATTATGACATGTGAAGTAAATACATTTATGGATAAGACAGTAAATAAGATGAATTAATTTCCGTATTCTATCAGATAACCCAGTTACGCCTTAATCAGTATGATTATGAAGTGTTGAAATACATTAAGATAAACATGACATATGTACAGAGGTTAAATATCTAAAAGCACTTATTATACGAATTTCATTTTTTATGAATTATGTATATGACATACTCGTATACATTAAAAACTACAAATGCCTTCAAGCGTTAAAAATATTTAAATTCGCGATTTGATAGCAGGTTAAAAACGGTAATATCCCGTGACCAATAATACACAAAACAATATTTAAATTTAAATAATTCACTTATAAAATTTTCGTATTTGGCCGCCTCAATTCGATTTAATATATGAGAACTCATTTTCAAACGCATATCATTTCAACGCATTTCAACTTGTACAAACGCTTGCCACACAGGTGAACACAAAATCCCCACGGGCAAAAAACGGAGAGGATTATAAAATATGACCGTTGAGTAAAATTTTAATCGTACAAAAGTTGCTGCCTTTTTTAAGCCATCAGTAAGGATTTCTCATAAACGTTGAATAACACAACAAGTACGATATATCATTATCAGAAATAGATTAAAATAATAAATGTAAGGCCATGTTTACTATTTTATTTTTTGGTTTGTCTTTCGGAAGAGGAGTAAATCTAGCAGACAGACCACCTTGCACTGAGTAATTACTTCTGCCTTGCCCGCCTAAGGGTCTGTCACTCGCCAGACAAAATTAAAAAGCACGAATATTTTGCCTTACTTTAGTCTTCCGTTAGTCCGTAGTACTTTCCGGGCCAACCTATTCAAGCTAATTAATAAAGCAATATTATTGACTCCTGACATTGACCGTACAGAAATAATCAACTCTCGTATTTCAGAATAACGTTCCCCTCAAGAGATAAAAGGGGCGTGTACTTTGCCAATTATTCATCATCGAAATTAAATAATTTTGATATAGAACAATAGTTGAAAACAATTAAATTACCCTAAAGTTTATCATACACGTGTTTAACTTTATTGTTTTATTACAAAATTATTAATTTATCTATTGTTTGTCGATTTTTTGGGGAACTAAGAGAAGAATAATCATTTCACATTATATGCCACATAATTACGTACCTATCAGTGGTTTTGCTGAATGATGTCAACGAACTCATTCAATGTATTACAATCTTTTATGTTTTATAATATTTACGTGTTATAATATTATGTATGTTACGTGTTATATATTAAATTATTGGTTATTTCCCCTTTCCACTCCTACATCTAGGATAAACTACTATCTACGCAATGCGGTCTCTTTGTAGATTATAATATTCCTTAATATTTTGCTCTTAAATAGAGCATTTTAATACGCCGCCCCAATTTCTGCAAAAAATTACACATGATGACGAATTGAGAGGTGAACGTTTCCTTGCAGTATAAAATATTGTTTAAATGTGAAATATTTCTATATAAATCAGTAACATACTGACAACATTCAAAATTCTCCGCGACATCTTGCAACAGATTTTAATTAAACTCAAGTTCGCGACTGATACATGTTTAGCATAACACGCGCGGCCCGTTAATTAAGGAGTTTTGTCTTTATTTGTGTTATCCGGGTAATTAGATATTGCACGAGATATTAAGTTACCACGCGTATTGCGTTGTAGGCAGTTAGATAAGGGAGTCTTTGGTTCGTAGTTGATTATTTTTCACTGACGTTTATTGCCCTATTGACGGAAAGCTAAAAGGAGTATGGAATCACTTACACCTTTAGCTTCTTCGCTTAGTGAGTTAAGGGAAGGCAGACCTTTTCATAAATGTAGGTAAAAAACTTCACACAAATTAATGATGTGGATATATAACGGCGGCGGTAGACCATCAGGTCACGTACTGTCCCTTTAGAAAACTTTATTTTTTTATTGATTTAAACGAGGAATAAAATGTTCGCGATTTCAATTAACTGACTACTGTGCGAAATCGAACCCGCGCAAAAAACGTTAAATATGCAGCTACCCCGACCCGCTGAATATATTAAAGCTACAATATTTCATAAAAATTCATTCTCCTTTGTTCGAAAGCTCAAATTCCGTTAGCATTATATTTTTTTTGTCTTTTCAAATTTCTTTTGCTCCGCATTAGCAAATGGTCGTAGGTTAGTCAAATTCCTTTACAAAAAAGAAAGCTTTCTCATTTATTATGAATATACAAGTGATTTTAATAAAATTTTGTTCAAAATAAAATATTGAGAACAAATGGAGTATTTGTTTGGGAAAACAAGTAAAACAATTCTACAGCATATCAGTTGAAAAGTGAATTTCATTAAGTACATTGACACCGAATTTGTGGTTATAAGGTTTTAATAGTTACTTTAAATGTTTTTCTTATTAAAAGAATCTATATAAAATATAAAATTTAAGTAAATTAAAGACCAATTAATACATGTCAAAACTAAAAATTATATCAATAAACATTATGTATAAAAAATAAAGAAAGAGTACGTAAATTGTAAAATAAATTTAATAAAAAGCACAAATGTGACTCTTAAGTAGTAATACAGCATGCATCTTAAATTTATCAATATTTATTTATGCCCAAAGAGGGTTGTGAGAGTCCAAGATGATGCCTATTTTTACATTTTACCACCTAAACATTGAAAATTACATAATTGAAAATAAATATTTTGACATTCAAAGTTCACTTTCGTGCTTGAAATTTTCACCTGTAATAGACGTAATAAACTTTTGCAAACGTTTGCAACCCACCTCGGAGCGTTATGAGGTAGTATAGGTACTTATCGAGCGTTAAATTTCGGATAAAAAAAAGAACGGGTACTCACGTCAGCCGTCACTTTTACGCTGAAATTACGTGAAAACGTATAGCGTCCCTTCTTCGGTCCGCGCAGCAATCTATTCGCGACGCCAGCTCTCGAGCACAGAACAAATGTATTAAAGCACATTTTCGTAGCTTATGTTTAAAAACGAACGGCGGTGGGAAGCGTTTGCTAAATGTCGCGTAAATATCGATCGGACATGTTAGTAAATTGATGCGGTATATCTTACTGCGTTAGCGGGCAAAGCGACAACCGCTTATGTCTCTATGCCCGATGACGCACTTGATAAAACACTGTTCCGTTTGATTGCGTTGAAATGGAATCGCTTATTGCTCGATTGATAGCACAACTTTCGTGATATACAGTTTATTGTATATTTTCACGTGGGATATTGGCAAGCGAGCGTGCTATTCGCCTTTTGGCATTTGAATTTTTTGAACTATCTGCGTTAACAACACATTTAGATTGGGCCGGGTTACCTTAGTCACCCGACAAAACGCAATTATGAAATATTTCCACTTCAAGCCGGCCTTGTGTAGGGCCATGAAACTTCCCATTCGTGGAACAGCAGTATCTGCTTCGTGGCCCCACCAGAACCCGGCCCGGCCAAACACCCAGATGCGAAATAACTATCTGTGGGTCACACAAATAGTTGTCCCGTGTGGTGATCGCATCTCCCGACGCCGAAGCCAATACCTTGGCAACTGCGCCACGGAATCATCGAACTCTTTTACCTCTTTATACTTAAGAATACATCAGCAGATCAAGGGATTTTTGAAAGAATTCTCTACGTGCCCCGCGCATGCTTAATCCAGCACTGGGCTAACTAATTGAAACTAAAAAATTTCCTACACCATACTAAATACAATACAGAACACTCGATAGCGCCGTTGCTAAGCTATTGGCTTCGTCGGGCGTCGTGGGTTAGATTTTAACGCGGAGCGAGTGTTTGTGTGACCATGGATAATTGTTCCGGTTCTAAGTGTTAGTTTCCCAAGGAGGTTTGTCGTGAGGCAGGCGGCCGGTCGTAAAAAAATAACCATGCTATGGCTAGATGCACTCCACTCAACATAATTATTATATCTCAGGATCGTACTTCATGGCAGTCTATGGGGGAGGCCTATGTTCAGCAGTGGACTCAAAAAGGCTGAAATGATGATGATGATGATGGAATAGGACGTGGTTATTTGTTTTTAAAATATTAGCGAGAAGACCAAAGCACCCTAACTAGTTGGTGCAGTGAAACTTGAATACATCGTTCAGTACAGATAATATCAGTAGAGTTTAAATTGATTGTAAGGATTTGAATTCGACGAAAAATCGTGGCATTTGCTGAATGCTCGACATTATGAAAGTTGGTTCTTGGATATATTAATCACCGTCGGGCTTATTAAGCTAGACCTATACTATTGATTTCAAGTCAATATTTCTACCTCAAAGCGTTCGAACAACAACACTTCTTTTGTTAAAATTTACATTATTAATTTCAGATTTGGCTGGTGATACGTGATTTAATGGGGTATTTAAAAAATAAAGTTTCTCAAATTTATGGCCGGTTTACTTTATGACCACATTTTTCATTTACAAACTCAAATTTATATCCATATTCGTATTTCTGTCATAAAATGTAAATGTTTGCATTTTACATGAAACAGTTTGTGTGGAAACGCAACGATTTTTGTTAAAAGCGGTCGCTATTATTTTTAATCGTCGCTTTAAAGTACCATAAATTCTCTCATTTCACATTACCATAAATGCAAGCGTAAAGCGGTGTGAAAGCGACTTATTCAAATTCACGTATAACGATTCCGCAGCACCTATTGAAACGGTTGAGTTTCAGTTTTAAAAAGTTCGTAGTACTCCAATGAATAATGTGATGGCAATATAACAAAGGTGAAAATTAAAAATACAATTTCTCAGTTCGCCACCCGAACAGTATTCTGAGAGAAATGGCTTTTCCGACGTTCCAGACGCCATTTTTCATCTTAGTCGAAAGGTTTCTTAGTATCAGAAAACGTCGTAGCGATTTCGCGATGAAGATCTTCCAAGGACTGAAGACTCACAACAGAAAATGAACCTGAACCCCAAGAAATACATACTCGTAGTATTTATTAATTACTGATTTATGGGATGGTTTTCCCAGAGAGCTTGAGTTACTTTAGCGAGGAAAAAATTAAATAATATTCATATTCCTAAAGATTTTATATACGCTTTCTGCTTTAGGTTGGTATCAATAGCTAAATAAAATTATCAATCCACCTAAAACTTTGGTACTTACGTTGTCTTTAATAACATAAACACGTCCATTTATTAATTAAAAACCACGAAATAGCCTGTGATTCTTACACAGTTCAAATCCACCGCACTATGTTTATATTATTGTTTGATAGTTACCTCCGATAAGCTTACATTATCTAAGTATTAAAACGCAAACTAAGTAAACTATCAAATTCTGTTTGTTTAAAATGGAATAGGCGTAATAAAATACAGTCTTAAAATGCAATATCACAATAGATACTTGATGACTCCGCGGCTGCTGCCAAGGTATTGGCGTCGGTGTCGGGGGTCGTGGGTTCGATTCCCACACGGGACAATTATTTGTGTGACCTACAGTTAGTTGTTTCGCATCTGGGTGTTTGTCCACATGAAATTTATGTTTGTATAGCGTCCTTCAATACAGGATAAGGCTATTCTAAAGTAAGGTCAATGTGTAAAAAAAAGAAATAGATACAAATGACTATTGGATGGATACAAATCAGATCGGATTTGAGCACCCGTGTCCCCTATCGAATTTTTAAATTCATTTTCTTTTCGCATACAGTTATAGATATTTATTATTACTGCTTTGCTCCTTGGGTCGTAACATAAATGTATATGGCTTTCTTATTCAAAGAACGAATCACCCACTAGAAAAAGATTTGGAATGGGACATATAGTGCCCTAAAGTTAGACTGATAAACGAGTTCAAATATATTTTTTTAATTTTTCACCTTTGTAAGGTTAATATTGGATGATATTAGATGAATAATATTAGATGATGACAAAGAATGTGAGACGTTTCTAAACACGCAAGGGCTCAACTGAAAGTGGGTGTCGTCAATCGTTGCCCATGGACATTTACAACTATTCTTCTAGGCTGTGGTACTTCTCCAGACGATGCTGACCCCTGTTATTGTTTTATGGTAGGAGGTGGCAAGTGAGCTGGCGCTTCACGCCGCCAATGGACATTTGCAATACCCGTATGGTTGCAGGTGCGTTGTCACCTTTGAATAAAGTGGGCCCAGGTTAACCCACGCCACACAAAAAGCAGACGTATAACACTCCCAATTCACACAAGTCCAGGCCACCCCGAACGGGCCTGTCCATTCATTCAGCAGCGAAGAATGTTGCATGACTCTACCACTTTGTACTTTAATTTATCGATCATAATAAGTTTAAGACATGTTCTTTGTCGGGTTCATACCGTTGAATCTCTAAGTATGTTGTTTATATAAAGTTATAGATCAATCATTAAACTATTTACTGTACTTGAAAGAGTTGTTAAAGAGTTATAGATTTATTATTTTTTGTAAAATAACAACCTTACCGCCATGTTAAGGATTTGGTTAACTATGTAAAAAAAATATTACAGTGTTACAACAGGTAATATAGGTGTGAGAGATTACATGTCAAATTCAACTGATGGAATCTTACATTAGAAACGTTTATTACGCATGTATAAAATAATTAAAAGTAATTTTATTTTTTACAATTACTTTGAATTTTATATTACATCTATAACAAAAACATGTTATTATTTTAGGCATTTTTCTACGAAAATAATGACGGCTAATCGCAACATGCTTGACTCACTTTGTAGTGCCCTCTAGTTCTTTTATCGTTTCCTTTTTTATTACTTTGAACGGCGTAAATCCGACGTTTTTATGTGTCCGTTCAGCGAAATTACCGATGTAATAAAATGTATTACTTACAAAACGGCTGCTGTAACATAATACTACGTAACCGTAAGTCGTGTTTTGGTTTAAAGAACTTTTAAAAGTTGTAAACTGTTTTGTTCATATCGAACATAGTACAACACTGGTCTTGTGTTTGTAAACTTTCGTTTGTAAATAAAACATACAGTTTTATTTAAGCAATGGTTTGATGACAGGACAGCGTATAACTGCTGATAGTGACCACATTACTCAGGTTGTCACCCGACACCCAATGGAAATTATTTCTTATTTAATATATTTTTTTTGTTTAATAGTTTTTTTTTATTTAATTACAATTTATCGAAAATAAAATGTGTGGGACGACCAGATGGAGTGACGACCTGTGCAAGTGTGCGGGAAATCGATGGATTCAGGTGGCTCAGGATCGTGCTTCGTGGCAACCTGGCTGAAATGATGATGTTGAACGAAAAATACTTCTTAACTCTTCGTCGCTGCTAGTGATACGAGAGCTGGTACTTTTCTCGCTCACAGGCTGAGTATAACTAACTATACAGCAAGGAAACGCAGCTAAGGTGCTTGGACATCGTGCTGCGTGAGCGCACGCTGGCATTCTGTGAGTACGATGACGACGAGCCTGCCTATTTCTGCAACAGCAGAAGCTGTCGCGTGACCCAATCACAGTAGATCTGTTTATATTTTACTAAAAAGTTTTCACTTACAGACGAATACGCATAAATCTTTAAGTGAACTTCAAACTAATAAAATAACATGAAATTGTTTTTGTTTCCGTACCAGGTGAATGTAATTGGTATTATGGTAGTAGGCACGTGCCATTCAGGTATGATATCAGCCAGCTGTTTTATTATCTTGATAACTGAAGGACTCGCGATATTAAAATGTAATAACTAAATTTCCTTTGATCATTTATTAATATCTAGGTGACAATACGTTATACACAATAACCAGAGATAATTTGAACATTTAAGGGATGTCCCGTAGATCAAAAAAAAAGGCCTAAACCGTTAACATTTTTATGGACAACAAATCTTTTTAAACATCCTTTACCTCAACGTTACACTTTACTAACGCGTAGTGAAAGACGAAAAAAGATGACGCGTGAATTTCTTTCCCCCTATAAATACGTCACCAAAGCAAATAATAACCGACTCCCGAAGTCACATCTCCGATGAC